ACCCTAAACCCTAAACCCTAAACCCTAAACCCTAAACCCTAAACCCTAAACCCTAAACCCTAAACCCTAAACCCTAAACCCTAAACCCTAAACCCTAAACCCTAAACCCTAAACCCTAAACCCTAAACCCTAAACCCTAAAACCTTATTATTATTATTATGTGAGTTTATTAGAATGCTAGAATGTTGCTCGGCCTCGTGCAGTACTTTATGTACTGGGTAGGAACTCCGAGGATAGCCATGGTAATCAGTTTACCACTCTCGGGGGACGCTCCTGAAGCATCGATGCAGGCACTCTTGTCTAGTACCTCCTGTTTGTCTGCGTTCCATGCAGAGACATACCACGACTGTCCTTCTTCCCCCCATTCTTTGATGGCATCCTCCTGGCTCCTGACTTCAGCATGTTTGCAGGTCTGTCGAATGGCTTCGGCTAAGGCGTTCATCGAGACTTCCTTGGACTGCAAGGCTCTGCCTGTCCTGCTCTGAGGGTACTGCCTGACGAAGTGTTCCAATCTTCGGATCAGCTCTCCTAGCGAAGGTGCTGAAGGTGTCGTGTCCTTGTTTAGGAACTGGGAAACTCGGACACGAGCAATCTGTTTCCTTTCCTCTTTAGATAGATACCACATGATCAAACAACCGTTTCTGCACAGAAAAATATCCTGTTCAGCACCCTAGCTCGCAGGGATCCCCTCAAACTGCAGGGGAGGAGAGCATGCCTGTTACTCCAGCGGCCTCCTGTTACTCCAGCGGCCTCCTCCTAAACCCTAAACCCTAAACCCTAAACCCTAAACCCTAAACCCTAAACCCTAAACCCTAAAACCTAAACCCTAAACCCTAAACCCTAAACCCTAAACCCTAAACCCTAAACCCTAAACCCTATTATTATTATTATTATGTGAGTTTATTAGAATGCTAGAATGTTGCTCGGCCTCGTTGTGGGCTTTTGCAATTTGATCCTAGTCTAAAGAGGCGCTCGAGCACTGGGAGTACACGGCCTACAATGCGAACCCTGCTTCTGAGCTTAAACCCTAAAAACCCTAACTAAACCCTAAACGCTGAATCCATCCAAGAGTTGTGTTTGCACAGCAACTCTATGGACTTGGTCGGGTGTGGTGGGAACAGAAGAGGGGGGTTGAAGGTAACGCATAGATGGCAGAAGGATGAAGATGCTTTTTCGTAAGTCACAGTTTGTGTTCCATCCCGTCATTGGTTAGTCAGGTGCTCACAGTGCCAAGCTGTCTTTGGACTTTTCCGGAGGAAGGTTCGTACTGGCAACATTTGATCAATTGATTTTCTTCTGATGCTTCATAGCATCATTGTAGGCTATGCGGTTCTATCTTCTGTTCCAGTTGTAGGTTCGGTGCTTCTTTACTTGATGATGCTATGACGTTAAATTACCAAAGTGAAAATCGGCGACCCATCCTCAAGTATGGATATATTGAGCCCGTAAGGGTTTGCGACAACTGTAACGTGATATGCTTCAGAGCAGGTAAGGATTTATCTTCCACTTAAATGTTCATTATGTTGACTGCTGTATTTCGGTTCCGGAAAGATATGCTTCTGAATGCTGTGGGTCAGACAGACCTTAGCACGGTCGAAAAGATCTGCCACGAGGGTTGTGATGTGCACTTTTCCACAACGATGTTTCCTCCTTTGATAATTGCAGCAAATCGGTACTATTGATCGAACGATCGACATCGTTGTAATCATACCTGCTAGTGGATCGTTGCAGATGATTGACCTACTATTGGAGTATGATGCCAACCCGTAACCTCCCGTCGTAATATTTTCGTTCCCTTACTTGGTGATGTTTCGAAGAAACGTCTCAACCGCAGTCATGGGTGAAGAGGAGATTCAATGTGTTTCATGTGGAATGATTCTGAGTTTGATCTTTGATGTGACTTTGCAATTTTTATGACCTAAATTAACAGAAGAAAGCAACCAGAATTGCACTAAGTGCAAAGAAGTTGTGCCAAGAAATGAAAGCACCAAGTATGCAGACCATGCGGGAATAACAGCATTGCATGCTGTATAAATGTTTGCAGATGGCTTATTATTTATTAATGATGATACGCCCCAGGCAGTTCAGAAAGCAGGATTCCTTGAGATTGTCCGCCTCCTTCTGGCGCGCGGCGCCATTGTCAATGCGAGAACTCGAAAGGTGTACGCTTCCCATGTGTTTCATCGATGAAATGAGTTTAGGGAAACACGCCTCTGCTGTATGCAGCTGCTGGTGGACACACAACATGCTGTGAGGTCTCACGAACACGAGTTGCATTGTCCACAGCCTACTGATTCATTTTTCCGCATCAGGAAATGTTGCGAGCGAACGCGGATCCCAACATGGAGTGCACTGAAGATGGCGACACACCATTGCACAAGGCAATCAGAGGAAGTAGACATGGGAGAGGAAGCATCTTGTGCATTCTGACTTGCTGTCTCAACAGGTCATTACGATACTGCAAAGCTTTTAATCCGATATAATGCGAAGTTGGATCACAGAAACAAGCAGGGAGAGACACCAAAAGGTTAGGTGTAGTAATTGGTTCTGATGATTGAATCAATGTCTGCAGATGTGGCAGCTTCATACAAGGAAAGATTCATTGATCTCTTCGTGGATATTCCAAGCCCAAATGTTTTAGAGGGGAATTGAATATAAGCAATAGAACACAACGCTGCAATGGATTTGCATCGAATCAAACTACTTCACAAATGACGTCTTCGCCTTTGCTAACGTTTGATGAAAGGGTTTACAGGTCTTTCCATCATCCTCCAGAAACCAGTGTCCATGCTCCCTTGCACGCTGAATCTTTGCAGCATTTCCAACAACCCAATTGAAGTTGATCACATGGGGTACTTTACCTCGGCATCGAAAAAATGGAGTCCACTCATTGCCCTTGTACCACCTTCCTGATCGGTAGTCGCACGAGTCCATCGTCTTAAGTGTCAACAGACCACTTGCTCGCATTTGCCCTGCTACTTCGTTCAAGAAGATCTGATCGTTGTAGTCTTCTGTGAGTGTGTCGTCTCGCATTCCTGCATATCGACTCAAAATTTCTGTCTGTCTTTTGAGAACCGTCTGCCAAAGACAGAGACTGCCAAGAGTTCGTCGAATCATCATGAACCCGGCACCTGTAAAACCATTGTCATCATCGAATCCCACAAGGTCATGGTCTGAGTTCACAAATGAATTCTGTTCCAACAGGTTTGAGAGCCACAGCGCATCGGGTTCTGTGAGGAAAACTCGCTCCTTCAGAGTGAGCACAGCTTGAATTGCAACTATTCGCTCGCGTAGCAGCCGACGATAACCCAGGGTGTTAAATTCGAGGTTTTTGTTGATGAACTTGAGAGAAGGGATCGTCACTGCATTGACTCTTGATCCTGTGCTCATTATCTCCTGTTTCGATTCGTTTGATGACAAGATGACAAGCGTCCTTTCATGTACACCTCTCATGTCTTTCGTGTTACAGATCCAAGAAAACATGAATGGAAGGAAAGCATCATTAACAAAATGCATTATGACAAGATCCTTTGGCATAGATCGAACCGTCTCTTCTAGCTGAGGATCTATATGCGGATAGGTATGTACATCGCACATTCTTTCCAACTCCTTGATGTGCCGAATTTCACCTCGGTTATGATCCTTCTTTCTCATTTTCGCAATCACTCCGAAACATGCGTACGATGCAACGAATGAAAAAATCAGAATCTGAATCAACACGAACATGACGAAAAGCCTCTGCAAACTCCAAGTCCGCGCATCCCAGAAGCTCGTCTCTCGCCTACAGGCAGCAATCTCACGAGAGTCAGCAATCATGAAACACTTCGTCACGACTTGACTTGCGTTTGCAAAGTGCTTGGATTGCTTTAAGGGCTTCTGATACCCACAAGTTTCTTCATGCACTCTTGGCACATCACGGAAACATTTCAATCTAGACAGCAGAGCTATATGGACTTCTCGCGCTTGTGCAGCGGCGATTGTGCATGGGAGGCATATATGTATATTATTTAGCCCGCCCGCCTCAGGTGTGTGAGAGAACACAGCAGACCAGACAGCAGACAGACTTTTTAGGTGTTTATAGAGTAGAGACAATGCTTTATGGAGTAGAGACAATGCTTTATGGAGTAGAGACAATGCTTGATGGAGTAGAGACAATGCTTTATGGAGTAGAGACAATGCTTTATGGAGTAGAGACAATGCTTTATGGAGTAGAGACACTGCTTGATGGAGTAGAGACAATGCTTTATGGAGTAGAGACAATGCTTTATGGAGTAGAGACAATGCTTTATGGAGTAGAGACAATGCTTTATGGAGTAGAGACAATGCTTTATGGAGTAGAGACAATGCTTTATGGAGTAGAGACAATGCTTTATGGAGTAGAGACAATGCTTTATGGAGTAGAGACAATGCTTTATGGAGTAGAGACAATGCTTTATGGAGTAGAGAGAGACAATGCTTTATGGAGTAGAGACAATGCTCAATCCTGAAAGTCGACCCGGTCAATGCCGACGCCTTCCTCAGAGAAGATTGCGCCTCCTCGTGCCTGATTGGTCAACCCTTCAGCTCCCCACTGATAGAAGGTCAAAGACAACAACCTGAAGCCTTTCATTGTTCGAACCCGGCATCATAGACCTTGCCACAAGTAAGGTTTTGTCAGAACAAATGATGTAAGAAAGCCAGCATTGAATCGGCCTCACCTGCTAGAGTCGCTCGATATTTCACTGCATCACATTCGTTATGTATTCAGTCGATTGTTCAGGATATCGCAATTCACTCACCTTGCATCATCCGATGTGGGATCTTGGTCCATGTACCTACGGAGCGAAGCTCAGTCTTTCACATCGGTTGAAACAAGTTGAAATACCAATCATTCAGCACAGATGCAGTATCCTCAGACATCATGGCAATCTGATCGCAATTAGATGTAAGAGAGGAGTAATGTCATCACAAACAGTATTACCTCAGAGGCTTGGGTTGACAACTCTGGTTCTAGAATCTGGTCAATACGGACCAGTTTATCTATGAGAGTTGTCCAGCGATCTCTATTTTGAGCCTGATTTCACGATTCAATGCGAGGCTGTGATGAAGGAGATATAGAGTTCTCACAGAAACAGCCTCATCCGACCCCTCGGAAGTTTCTTCCCATGGCTCAGGCGTTCTGACACGATTGTAAAGAAACATCTCATCTTTTTGGGTATCACCGTGCTCCAGAGCTCAAGCGTCCGTGAGATGAGATCGAGCTGGACAAAAGAGAGTCTCCTCCTATCGTAGACGCTGCTTCTAATTCATATCTTTTTTGGATCTTCTTCCGCACCTAAAACAAAATGAGTATACTCATTTTGTCCTGACACATTCTATACCGCATTGTTCACGAGCCTGACTGCAAATATCACAGAGTAAATCGTCATTTTCTCCTGCAGAAATCGTTATAAAGGCTGTTTCCAACCGTTCTTCTTACTTGACCGCCACTCTCTTCTTCCTCCTTTTCTAGACGCATTCTTTCTATCTCAGCGAATCCTTCTCTAACATTCCACCCAACACTGATGCTAACAACAGACATGAAAAGAATCTGGAAAGATCAATCAGCAATCTTGAAAAAAGACCGTCATTACAATTTCATAACAGTCATACTTGAATTCCTGTCAAGGCATTCGCGAGGAGGGGAGTGTCGTATTCTGGACTTGCCTAAAACATTGTTAGTTTTTTAGGACAGGAAACATTGGAACACAAAGATACCGTTGCGAGCATAATCAAAAGAGCAGAAAACAAAGTAAGATAGGTCGTTCCAATTTCGCCGCCTTTGATGAAATTTTCTCTGGCTTCCACATAGGGCAGCGCACTGCTCGCATAGTTATAAAAGAAAGAATTAAAAAGGATTTGAATGACCTGCAGTGAATTGCAAAAAAGACAAAGCTCACAAGACAACCAAACATAATGTCATAGCTGTCATGTAGGGTCAGTTGTAAGTAACCCAAAAAGACGAGATATACCCATCCCCAAAGCGTTGTAAGAGACCGGAGAAGGCAACAATCAACTGTCAATTCCGTCCAATTCTTAGAGTGATTGGTGAGAACATGATGTACAAACCTGTTTTCTTGCCATTTCTACTAACTCCCAATAATAATACTCATTTTGGTAGTCTGCAAATATGAACTCAAACTGCAACACAACATTCAATGTACTGCAGGGTCTGCAAACGATTTATCCAAACCTGATCCCACTCGTTTCTGAATTGTTGGTATTGTGCATGCATGACTGCAATCTCCTTGTCAACCCGAGCTATTTCCTCTGATCTGAATTGCAGATGAGTACATTGTGTCAATAGTAAGTATTTAGATACCCGGCGAGCTCATCTTCTGGGATACGAAGATCCTTCGCTCTCTTGAGATGACTTCTCCATGCTGTGTATCGCTTTATCACCACACTCTTTGCTTCATCTAGTCGGTGTCTGCGACGGCGAAGTGAAACCAGATAATGGATTGGAAGTCCCAGGGTGTACACCACAATCATAAAAAATGCTATAGACGCAAATATCCACCATCCATAATCGCTGCACTGAAAGCGCAAATCAACTGACAGCCATTGATTAATATATCCCAGTATAGATTCGCATTGAAACATGTTGAACATTACTTCTGTAATGTTTGGATGGACAAAGATGAGAAATTCGCTTGCAAGTCCGGTTGCTTTCTCGTTCAGATTTATTCTGTCTTTTTCTTCTTGATTCTCGAGATATTCCAATTCATCGTCATCCTGAGCTATTCGTCTCCTATTGTTGTATGAAATCCTGATTTGTGACAATCCCAACATGACTAGACCTCTCACCAAGATAAATGCAACAAATGGAATGGTTGCCTGCAGAAGCACATTGTGATAGAATGTAAACTCGAATTGCATGATTAGGCATGCAAGCGTGGAGGTTGGGTCAAATTTCACGTAATTTGCATATGAACTAAACGATTTGAAAAATCCAGGCATTTGCACATTATATGATGTGCTGACTGATCCTGTAACCATGAGATACGAGAGTACAATTTTCAAAGTACCAACATCGAGAAACAGTTCCAAAACATCTTGATATTTCACGTATAGATATCCTACTATTCCACCAACAACCAAAACAATAGCAGTTGTCTGTGCCATGGTTTGTGGTGTCGCACACTTTTGACACAATCCTGCAGAATCAGGGTAGTATCCTTGCACGCAAGTTGCACAAAGCATTCCGCGATATAAAGGAGCACAACTTTGAGTACCAAGTCCATACCCATCTCCAAGACAACCACAAGGTTCAAATTGCGTCACATCTCCACTGCACAAACATGTTAGTTGCTCAAAAGGTTTGGAGTAAACATTCGTACCTTGATATTGCATTGGAATTTAGACTATCACAGGCTTCCTGAGAAGGGCAGGGAGCGCAAATACTGGCACCGGAGGCACCGACTGCCTGAGTTGTTGTCGGCAGGCGATTGTCAGCTCCAGCTGTTATTTTGCCGCGATCAATGCTTTCCCATATGCGACCATAGTCAATAGATTCATATTCCAGGCAGGTCGCCGTATCACAGCACGCGCCGTATGCGCAATCAGCACACGCAGTCTCAGGGTCACATGTGCTGCAAAGATCCGTCATACCCGATATAGCCGGCGACGGACTGTTGCTTTTATAGCAAAACGTATACGGAGGGGTTTGAGGTCTGCAATTCAAGGGCCTGGTGTTTCCATCGGAATAGACAGCAGACAAACCCTTGTTACAATACGTCAGGTCACAAGAGCACTTGTCATCTGCGCTAATAAAGCTTATGTATGTGTATAACATACTGACTCTGAAATATCCAGGCTTACACCAACAATCAGTCAGGGAGTTTCTGACATAGTTTACAGCAGCATCTTGACCATAGCGCTTTGTACACCCCGTTATGTTCGAGCATTCGGTTACCATATTTAGATCAGGGCATTTCATACATTTGTCTACTCCCCTCCAATCTTTGTAAGTGCCAATTGCTCCTAAAAGCTTCCCCGAGGTACAGGCTTCACAAAGTCCCCCCGAAATTCCTGTGTATCCACGATCACATACGCAGGGCCTTTGATTTTGCTGATCCGTGTAGTCTCCAATTTGCCCAAGTGGGCAGTCTTTGGTTTCTATAATGAAGCTGGTGATGAAGAACACAGGCAAAGATGATTTGTCTCCACACGATGCTGGATTTTCAACGCATCGTCTGAAAGGTACATTGTAATTTAGGGTGAACGTCAGATTGTAAAATTGTCCCGGGTGGCCATTGAATGTGATGTCTGTGAATTCTGCTTTTCCTATCAAGGAGAAGGCGGCTCCTTCAGATAAACCTGTGCCAGAAGTGAAACGAGCATCGAGAGGTTGATCAGGCTCAAAACAAGGGTTTTCATTGGTGCTTCTTTGCTCTCCTTGGCAAATCACTGCATTTGGCTCACCTCCCAGAGGTCTTGATGCGTCATCTTTTCGATTTATTGTTATCAACACTCGTTCACCAACTTTTTTCACCTCGTCGTAAGGACTGTAGATTGAAGGAGGAATAACAGGTTTTCCCAAGTCGTCGATAAGCACCATCACTGGCTGTTTAACGAGTGGCTTTCCGGAAGTAGTTTGAGCTGAAGGCTCTTTATTCCTGTCGAATATTATCTGTGTTGCTCGTCCTCTGAATTCAAAGCAACCGCGGTCGCATGTTTGAGTGTTCTCTTCTCTATCGCAGAAAGATAGCTCGGACTGGCAGATCCCGGGTTCTCCCGTACATGTCTCCCCAGCAGGACATGGTCCGATTGGACATTCCAAGTCACATTTTCCAGTGAGCAAGTTGCCGCACTCTACAGGATTGAATGGGTTACAAAACGTCCGATCCCTCTCTGTTCCACCCTGACAGACATAAATCGGCATGCAACGTCCACCATTCATTGCCCCGCACTCCACAGGATTCTGTGGCGTGCAGACTGTTGAGTCCCTCTGAGTGCCCCCTTGGCAGACAGGCGTCGGACCCGTGGTGCAGGACTGTCCAACGTTGGGCCCATTCATGCAAATGTTTCCGCACACTCGCTTGGAGCAATCGATGACAGGGTTGGTGCAGTCAACCCACTGACTTTCCTGACCAGCCAATTCCACCATCACATTGAACCGACCTCCTTCTGCAGGCAGTTCACATTGAAGCCTCTCTACACTGCAAATTTTGTGCGCGGATTCGTATTTTGTGTACCAATTGGTTGGACACATCAGCGAGCATGGATCACACGCAATGTCATTCGGATTAGAGCTACATTGAACGAAACTTTTCGAAGCACATAATGATGGATTCAATGATTTGTCTCCACGTGCCCCCCACCACACAGGGGTCGAGCACCAGTCAGGTGTGCACAGGCCTCCCCCTTCACAGTCTGTGTTCAACCTGGTATCCACACAAGCTAATCCGTCTCGCAAACCTCCGACACATTTCTTGGGTGGTTCATAGCAAGGCTCAGGAGAAGTCGTGCTGTTAATGTAAAAGGTTCCAGGAATGAAACAATCATATGTTCGTTCTGCTTGCCATCCGCCGCTTGCAGATGGCCTCTTGCCAACCTTGACTTTCGACACAGCATCAAAATTGATTCCAAAAATGGTCAACCTTGCGCCTCCTTCAAAATCATATGTGTACGGACCCCCCGTATCTGCTTGCAACTCTTGGATCACAGGACTGTCATAATTGAATATTCCATCTGATCTTCCCATTGATAGAAATCCATTCGGGACTGCGATAGAAACAGGAATCCTTGTTCCTATGCCTCTAGGAGCAAAACAAACAACGCTTGAGTCAGCGGTCCAAACAAGAGGTGAACACAATGATGCGTTGAACTTCACAGTTGCGTTCTGGTCAGAGGTTCCAAAGTTGGAACCTTGAATTGTAACTTCATAGCCTCCGGTCACAGGGCCGTGGGGCTCCCCGTGCGGATTGACTTTGATGGCACGGATGACAGGAGCTGAGTAGGAAAATCCATTCGCACCAGTAGGTGTGGTAACAGAATGACCCATCTCATACACACTGATGGGAAGATTTTCTCCAGTGCCAGGCCTTATGATTGCTTCGATCACTGTCGGACTCTTCCAAACAGCATAGTTTGCAAACGTATTTCCGATCTTTACCTGGGGGCTTGGATCAAAATTTCCGAATCCAAACCCATGTACAGTGATTGTTGATGTCTTTTCAAACGCTGACATAACGGTACTATATGTTGGCTCGATATACGAAATATTCGGCTTGATAGAGCAATCAGTTCCAAAAAAGCCAACGAAGCACTGGCAATGTCCATTCGTTGGATCACAGTTCCCGTTACTGTTGCATTCATCACAAGCATATTGACAGATTTGACCCCACCATCCAGAAAACATTTACATCTATTTTCAACACAGATTCCATTTCCAGAGCATTGAGCATCCTGGCTGTCAGCACTACAACGAAAATCGACCTTCTTCAATGTAAACATGTACCATGGCATCGGCTGAAATCCATCTGGCATATCAATCATATCAGGATGTACTTCCAAGGAACAGTTGCAGATGTAATGGTCTCCCTGTTGCGCTGGAGGAATTGTTCGACAAAGTCGTGGGCTCCAGGTTATTATTGAATTGGAAGAGCTTGTGTTGTCTTGAGCTGCATACTGGTGACACAAGATTTGAGTTGTCGAATTCAGGTCTGGAGGTGAAAAGGCTTCCTCGTCAGCATTTCCAGCGGTGAAGTGCAAAAGAACTGTTGTACTCCCCAATAAAGGTAGGAGCGACCATGAGCCATTTACAATACGAAGAAGGAATATTGAACTGACAATTGCTGGATCTCCAGGAGGTATCCATTTGGGATATGCTTGCTTGGAGTATCGCTCCAGAACCACTACAGAATTCCCTGTCTCTTGCAGATTCAAATATTCCGATGTCATGTTCTTCAAAAGCAAGGCAGAATGAATAGAATTTATGAACACTTCAGTTTCAGCTCCAGTCCAGTGGGCTCTCAAGACGAAAGAATTTCGATTTTCTGAAATGAGCCATCCTCCAGCCTTGAGCATAACAGAGCTACTTTCCAAAAGATATCCTTTGGCATCCATCAAAGTGTGATAACTTGCTGCAGTTGATGCAATGCTCATCACGACATGGTCTAATAGCGTGATTCGATCCATCAGCGGCATTTGAGAGTATGTCCACTCGCTTATCTGTGTTAAAATCATTTGAAAGACGTTCAAAATCGTATCAAAAAGTACAACGGTTGAATAGTCACTAAGACCTGGTGGCAACACAGTCTGACTTTTGAAAGCCATTTGTCTGATCAGATACAAGACACCTATTTGAATTTGAGCTGTTCCTTCTGTTGGATCATTGGTGATCGTGCGCAAAGCTTCTGACATCTTGTCCAAAAGCGATGAGGTGACACTTGAAGCAAGTATTTGACTTGAGTATTGCAGCATTGCATTGATGTACAATATCTGGACACCCTGAACAAGCGAGCCAGGAACTGTTAACAACGTCCTTGCACTCCGAATAAGGGGCATCTGACCTTGGTTCCTATGTTTCTTTTGTAATAGAATCAATGATCCTTCGAATAATTTAGTGAAATTCACAAATTCTGTCTGATTCCCAACAATGCTCAACATCAATGCCTCAAAATTTACCTGATCGATTAATGCATGACCTCCAAGTGACAACATATACAAAAATCCATACCAATCCTGATTTAATGCCTTAGAATCAAGGTTTTCGACTACATTGTAATTCAAGAATGTGATAATATCCGTTCGATTCTTTGGAAGTGCCACAAAATCCTGTCTTGCAATTGTTGTAAAATCAAAAATGTCAGAGATCTGCACTATAATCGTCATCACATTGCCACTGCGTTGACTTACAGGAGCAATCACATCCGTTACTCTGTTGTCGCCTGTCTTGTCGCTGAGAATCAAAAAATCTTCGGCATTTGTTCCCCACTGTACTTCAAACGCATACAGGAGAGGGAAATTATCCTGGCTGGCTAGAGTCCAATAGAAACAGGTTGCTTGGAACAGTGTTGACAAAGAATATCCGCTTGTTGGAAATATTCGAATGTTGCCGCCGAAAGGCACTTCGGAAGTCCTCATCAGGATAGTTGCGATAGCAGTTGGTCCAGATTTCTCAAATGCTCTCAAAACAAAGGAATAGTCCGTGTTGCTGGCTAATATTCCTACGGGTAGCTCCAAAGCGCATGGAGCAACTCCCCCAAGAACTGTACTATCTATCGGCATCCTGCTTGACTCGCGATCCAAAGACCACACATAGGTCAGATCTTGAGCCGGAGCATTGCATTGAAGTCGCACAATTGAATTGGAGTTGACAGGATTCTCCAATGGCAAAACATACAAATCAAGCTTGCTTGCTCTGCTACTTTCTATCGAAATATTTCGAACCACGGTCAGTTCCACGAATTTTTCTGCCACAAATGAAAAACCGGCTGGGAAGGTTTCTGAACATGTTCGAATGCCAAATTTCAAAACTGGCTTGGCAACTATCACTCTTATACGAATTCTTGTTTCAATGATTCCAAAATAATCCAGCTGAAATCGACATAAATTTGTATCATATACATCTGCATTTCGATATCCAAAAGGAAGGCTTCCATTGCTGTACAGTTGGCAAAGATTGTCGTCAGAAATGCCATTTGCAAAGTTTACGGTAGGCACTTCGAGGCTCATTTGTCCACTCGTCAAAGATTGTACCACAACGCTCTCAATAGCAGTGCCGGAGCAAGTCGTTGGCTCAACGCATTCCCACCTGAAACATAGTTGACCTCCGTCAGGGTCGTAAGATCGAGATGCATCTATGACAAACGGCATCGTTTTCCCATCCCGCCCAATGTTGATTGTCCTTCCGTCCCCAACCACGAGGAGGACTGGTAGACTTTCAAGAATTTGCACATTTAAGGAAGAGTATTGGTTGGTTATAAGTGTACCAGTGTAAGCTTCAAATACTCTGACTTCGAGTGAGATTGTGTAGTTTGAACCTAAAGATGTACTTCTTAAAACATCAGGATCTAGACGGAGAACCCTGTTGGTGAATGCAGCAATAGATTGCACAAACAGATCATCTTCAGCAATTAAATCATTTGGAACCTTTGCATCATTCATGAATGTTACTTTCCACAGCAATCTGATGTCAGGATCACCACTGACACGTCGCAAGAGAACAAACTGATGCTCACGGCATGCTAGTGGAGTTTGTATGTCAACAAAGATCTGGGAACCTTGCGCTCTGTATACGGGGTAAGGATTTGGACCTTTGAATCTGACGTAAGGTATAGAGTGCGTGAAATTCTTATCAACCACAACAGTAGCCGTTCTTTGCGCACCAAGAAAAGAAGTTACTGTACATGAAATTTGATACCTTCCAGCAGTAAGGTCACCGTATGAAATTTCTAATTTGGACTTTCCACTCAATTTACCGCATTCATAGTCATGTCCAGAGGTAATTTCACAAACAGAATTTTCGACATTTGCAGCTGTTGCTGCAGCCACGACCTGTACTGGTGTTCTCGCTACGTCAAGACTAGAAATCGACCAAACATATCTCGATACAGCTCTTGAGCCGGATCCCCACCAAACAACAGCATTAACTACAAGGCCGTCGCATATTCCAATGAATTGTGGACAATCAAGGAAAAGCAGGGGTGAATCAGCATTGATTGGTGGTAATACTGGCAATGGGCATGACTGATTCTCAGGTTTTGAACAGTCTTGATTATTTGATTGAGGGTTGCAGTTCAGGTCAGGGAGTGTATCCTGAAGAGCTTGATTGCATCCATCAGCAGGATATGATAGTAGATTTCGTTGTAGAATCATGCCTGCCCTTAGAAAAAGCTGTGGTGAAACTTGAGAATCCGCTCCACCAATTTTCGCAGCTTGGCACACAAAGAGTCCTACGTCATTGGCGACATAGCTGCATGGCACAAAAGATGCTCCATAACCAAATATAACATTCAAAACACTTACACCATACGAATATGGAGCAAAAGTTGAGTTATATGAGTCTTCCCATAGACATCGACTGTTTTCACCAAGGAAATCACTCAGAATCATGTACAAGATTGATCCTGCAAGATGATCCTTCTTCGTTGTATTTTCAAGTCCCCTGTCAACAATCAATCTCGGTCTGTCATCATTCACGTATCCTTTGACATACATAATTTCATCATCGACTTGAATCCTCCAGCCTTGTAAAGGTACTAGGACGTTCAAGTTTGCTGAAAGAATTTCGATATAGTCTGACTGTAAATTGAAACCCAAGTCGAAATCTTTGCATCCATCTTGTATCAAGCTTTGTATATTTAGCTGTGTTGGTCCGTAATAACCTGTGCCAGGTTTTAGGATCAAAATCGAAACGATTTCACCGTAATACATTCCAGTCAGTGGATCTTTTGTTGGCAAGGAGCATGGGATAGGACAGGGACGTGCTTGGACTACTCCAACAAATCCGATCCCATGAGGGTCATATGCATAGATATAAGAACAGTTCACAACGGATTGTGCGGAATTGGAAGCACCACAAGTGCAACCCCAGCCCCCTTTGTTGACAGTAAATGACTCGAAACCACTTCTCATGTCTGTTGTAATGCGCTGTCCGCTTTTCAGCCCCCCATCAACGACTGCAGCAATTGTCAAGTAACGATTGCAATCTTCTTGAACAAAGGAGTCGTAAACGGCTGTAGGATTACAATCTGACGAGAACACATCTGAACGCAAGTATGGTCTATTGCGATAGTCGTTTCCATGGCAAGTCTGGCTATCAAATAAAATCTGAAATCCCGTACCGTCTTGAAACAAATTTACAGAAACCACATGAGGTTTGTCATCGAAATAAACCAGCGATTGCTCATTCATGTTTTCTCTACTTTGCTCTCGAGCAATGCTCAGCTGTCCATCAACTTCAACCCTCACAAGGTGCTGGCCGCACCAGCCTGGAAAAGGATGAAACTTGTCATAGAAATTGTAGGTCGGATCCGACAATGTTCTTGAATCTAATGGAGTCAAGACATATTTAGGACAACCGTACTGTTCGTCACATTCTGGTCTATTACGAAGCGCTTCATCGAGCGTAGCTGTGTAATCTTGATATCCAGTGACCTTAAACCAAAAGCCCTTCAGTGCAAACGTGTTGAAAAAGTAGAAGCATACCTTTCGTATATCCCAACCTTGATTGTTCGGAAAATA